TTTGCTTCTTCTTGATTGAAGAAACTATTTCATGTGCACAGTTAAAACAGTGACAATAAAACATTTGTATAATGTGCTTTATTTCTGAAACGAAACTAAAATAAACATTGAAAACGCAGCTCCGTGTGCGGTGCTTTAACTTTACGTCAAAGGTATTTAATAACTTATTTAAAATTATAGCAGCATGTTGTTGTGCGTTGATGTAGGTTGTTTTTCGCGACAGGCGGGATCCACTTCAGAGCCTTTCTAGCGTCCCAATACTAACAGGTGTAACTAAAAAAACAGCGTATTGAGTATAAATAAAATAAACGGCGCCACATAAGTAACATGCCACCACTGAGCTCAGATAATAGTATGTTTTCGGCAATTCAGTCCAAGAGACATCGACTCTCTATAGCGAGTGCCCAGGATTATCTCCACGTTACTTAAATTAGCTAGCGTGTTCGATTATTTTATAATATTCACTTAGTGGGACTTCATGATATTAACTTACTATGAATTCTTACTAGCCCAGCAGTTTCCCTGACATTACAATATTCACTTGCTATGACTTCTTACTAGCTAGAATTTCCGTTGCCTTTAGGATATTCCCTTGCAATAATTTCTTACTAACTAGCATCTTCGATTACTGTATTGTATTCACTTATTACAACTTCTTTCTAGCTACTATAGTACTTTCGATGACATCATGATATTCACTTACTATGGCTTCTTACTAGCTGGCATTTTCGTTGGATTTATGATATTCACTTACAATTACTTATTACTAGCTAACATTCTGAGCAGAACGTAATTGGGCGCAAGTGAGCTGGTGTATATTAAACATTTTAGTGAAATTTTTTTTAGACGTTCTCCTTCTCTTCCTTGTCGTCGTCTGTCATTACCTCAGTCTCGGGTTTTTCACTAAAATGTCTAACATTCTCGTTGGCTTTATAAATTCACTTACAATGACTTCTTAATAACAAGCATTTTCGTTGACTTTATTATATTCACTTACTATAACTGCTAACCTCATTTCGACATTTTTTAGTGAGCGAACGTTTTAACGAGAAAAACGCCTCATACAACCTCTTATTACTCAAACACCGGCGGCTCGTTTGATAACCCACGTAATATACTCATCTAGCTGTGCATATGTAATCTCAAATTGGTCCAAGGAACATAAGTTATGCCTACGCAGTTTCGTCTAATCACCCTGAACAGCACCACGCGAGTTATGGGACGCCGGTACCGTGCCATATATCCTAAGCACGTTTCTCGAAACCTTGAAAATCACTTGCGTCATCCGTTAGCTCCGCATGCACGCTCGTCCCGAGGTGCACAGATGACCCAGACATGTAGAGTGCAAGTCCGCCATAACTCACAACCCGTAGCCACAACCTAGTTTGGGGCTCGTCTTTGAATACTAAATCAGTACGAGAAACCTAAACTATTTTCATGTCAGACAGATAACGATGATTACGCTCGGGAACATGCCTAGACTCGTTGCGGACTAAACAGTGACGAGCCTTCGGCACTGAGAAGGAGATTGATTAAGTATTTAGCATGTCCGACGAGCTCCGGCTTCCCGTTTCAGACAAATGTTCAACTCTTGGTTGCTCTGTCGCAATCAATAATACTCCAAAGGTCGACATAACTTCCTTTTTTTTTGTGTGTGTGTGCATGTGTGTGTGAGTGTGTGTGTGTGCGTGTCCTTGCTAAATTCGGATTCAATTACCTCCAAGTCAATACTTTTTGCTGGTGCAGATTTTAATGCAAATATATTGCCTATACTTTTTACTTTTGCTTATTACAAAGAGTCGCGAATATTTCGGAAAGGTCCTTCGTCGATCAGTGAACGTATCTCGCCAACCCGCTCGCACTGGGTCTCTTGGCAAATGTGTCTCATTTTCGGCCTACATTCTAGGGTAAAAGGTAATTACGGAAAACTGAGCGCTACCTACAGTTTTTATTCATCCCCGTGGCAGCTTGCACACGTGCGTACCTGGGATAATATTTTTTTTTCCAATTGCCACTATAGACATTTATTACTTGGTCCAGGATTGCTTTATTTGTAGAAGAAAATTCCCGCGCGTGGCCGTCCATATCACGACCACGTTGCGGCAATCTCTTCTTTAGATAGGATCCAGGAGCAATACCGATGTTTTTATTTTGCCGACTGACAGCCCGTCCGCAGCCCCGAAATTGCGGCAAGAAACTCCCGGCGTGAAAGGGCGGCATCCAATGGGGCGTTAGGAAAACTTTCCAGGAACTTTCTAATCAGTCTCGTGGACCATACCCGCGTAAGAACGTTTGCCAATAAAAAATTCATATTTTCCTTTTTTGTTTTTTCGCTTGTGTAGTTTGAGTTTGGTTGTTGCATCACTCGTTCCTTGGCGCTTTACAAATTGATTTTATACACTCAAAGCTTTTTTTTAACGAGTAAATAAGGTACGGGTGAGGTTCTAATAGTATATAATGATTTGGATGGAACGTTAAAGCACCCGCGTTTTATCCCGTAAAGAGTTTATAGGATAATTCATTTAACCCTAATTAAAAAAAAAATTTCATCGCACCATTTCAGGGATTTAAGCCGCTGCTGAATTTTGAAAATGTTTGAAGAGGCGGAAGAGTTAAGGCAAATTTCAAAACACATTTTGTTGGGGCACATGACGCGCCATTCACGAAAAAGTGAGAAAAAAACAACATTACATACAATATTGAAGCCCTGGATGGTACTGATGATTTAAATAAAATCACTGCTGCAGAATTAGTTTGCCGCCCGGAAAGCACCGTGGGCGAAAGAGGAGGGGGGATCTACCGCATTGTGATCTAGGACTGCCTTGCGCCCCCGAAATTTCGATCGCACCGTCATGACGAAGACGACTATTCAGGAATTGTAGTTTTTTCGCTTCGCTTCGCTATACTTCGCTTCAGCTTCAGTCTCGACGCAGCCGACGCTACAAGCTAATGGGGCCAATAAACAGCGTCAAAAGCGCAAGTCACTGTGTCTTTTGTTGTTTTTGATTGGTTCAGTGATGATAGAACACGTACGGAAAGATGACAAACATTCTGATGGTGCGTTTTTGACGTAGTCTGATTAGTGCCATCAGCACGTAGCGTCGCCTGCGTACGGAAGGCGAAACGAAGCATAGAATACCCTTAAAGGGAAACTGAAGAGGTTCTGTATTTGAGGAAAAACCTGTAAATCGTCTTTATTTGGCATCCAAAATCACAAATATCTAGTTTTTTTGTTTGTTTGTTTTTTTTAATTTGGAGCACGGAGGTTGCAGAAATTAATTTTTTTACGTACTGCCGAAGCCCCTCCTTCCCGGAGAGTGACGTCATATCCAGTTCTTGGAATCTCTCGCGCATCTTCAGCGCCCATCAGAGCTACGCACGCACACTCGCGCTATTTAAAAAAGAAAAAAAAAAAAAAGGTCAATGCGGTATTCAGATTCACTGGATAAAAATTACTCTCAAATTCACCTCCAACTCATTTTTTAAGAACTTTTTTAGATTTTTTTTTTTTATTGAAGAAGAGAAGACATTACGCTTGGGGATAGCCGTCTGCATTTACCCGAAATAACGCGTAATATACATTACATCACTGATCACGGATCGCGACGTTCAATGCGCCGGGTGACTCCAAATACTGAAATACCACTCTACCGACAACTCAAGGAAGGAAGGGCGTGGCGTGTTCCCCTCCATCTCATTATCCCTCCGTAGCCAATCACATGGCGGCGTTGGCCGATCAAAACGCCGAGGAAGCAATCACGACCCGAGAAGTGTTAACATGATAAACTACGCCCCGCGTTTCTTAACTTGTCGGTGACTATTGTGGCTGATTTGTTTAAACGTTATTACATTACAAAGGCATGCACAAACACCAGAAGTAGCAGCGCTGAAATCATACTGCTGCGGTCAGTAAGTCCAGTAAAAACAAACAAAGCACTTGAACCGTCCACCGCTTTTTTTATTAGTTTTTGTTTTTTAGATTACAAGCCCAGAACGTTTACGCACAACGACATATGTGGAAAATGTAATCATTGCCACGTATGTACAGTACCACACCCATGCGTAACCAGAAAAATAAACAAAGCGGACGTATAGTTTTCCGGTGAAGCACTCACGTACCACCCTTATATGTTTTGCACTGATCTTTAATCTTAATTTCAGAACCAATCGTTAGCTTTTTTTTTTCTTTCTAGGTATGCACGAACGTGTTTTTTGTCGATATTTCCTTACGCGCTATGTTTATTCCTAAGTACGATGTGCAACAATACAAAAAGACCCATTCGTCGAAACATGTTTTAGGCAACCATTTCGTCGTTTACCCTGAGACTGGGTTTTTTTTAGAAGAGCAGAAGTAACAGAAAAAACAGACAGCTCTTCTAAAAGAAACCCAGTCTCATGGTAAACGACGAAATGGTTGACTTCCACCAGCTAGCCTGCACTTTGACTCTTTTTTCATGTTTTAGGCAGCTGTGCTAGACTCTTTGTGGTCAGGCCCACATTTCTGGGGTCGAGTAAATTACATTTTATTTCTAAAAAAATAAATGTAGCCAAAATGTGCTCAGTATACCGCCGCATGAACTGCCTCAGCGAATGGGGCTTTCATATTGCGGGAGACTGTGCATAAAACAAACGGCCCTTGATTGTGATCGCGCGGTAGGTTAATGTGAGCTATACTATGTATCTATACGATGATCCTCTTTCACGTATATCCATTCGCGATGCTCCAGTAATCGCGTCAAATATAAAATACTCTGCAAAACACGTAAACTGATGTAACTTTTAGGGGAAGTCGAAGTTTGTATAACCCTTCATAAGTTATGTCTTGATCCCAGCGATACTCTGCACTGCTGCCAACCGATTTCCCAGAATCATATTTAGTACGTGTACTATGCACTTACTCCAGCCTGAGCACTGTCACCGCCACGTTAATTATCAGTTGTTTACCGTTGATGTGAACGGAGTGTGGGGTTGTCTATAATTGTTACTATTTTTCTCTCCAGGACTGTTATCATGGGACGTGAAGGCAACGGGCACGGACCTTTCCTCAGCCGAAAAGACATGCTTGTCGGTCAAGGTCAGCGCTGGCCCTCACAACGGTACGCTTTCCCGTTTTCAAAATTAACCTCGCAGTGTTTTCGCTCTCCTAGTCACCGCAGGCGACTGTCGCGTTCGTACACACTTTTGAAGTCAGAACCCTCTTGAAGTCGGGCAGGCTCGATGAACAGAGGAGCAGTCCATGTTCCCTAACGCTTAAATCTCCACCGGAGTCAGTTGCTTAATTTGTTCCCTCGTGCCTCTTGGGGAAATGCCCGCAGCACTATACTCTCTGTCACCCTAAGTGTGAGCGCAGTCGAAGGCACTAACACATATACAGAATCACGAACAAACCTATGGTCAAGTCGCTGAGCCTTCCCTGTACATGATTGGCTTAGCTCTGATCGAATGCGTACAAAGACGTGGAAAACACAATGACGTTGCTCTTTCGACGCGGTTTGATTGGTCCCATAGGTTAAAGTGCCTTCATGTTCGGGACATGAAGGCACCCTACCATAGGTACGTATCGTCAGATACGTCCAGACTTGGGCTGACATGAGGTATAGAAATCTCCGAAGTAAGTTTTAACGTTTGGGAAATTAAGCTGGGCAACCTTTTGAGATTGTCATTTCTTTAGATTGAGATTGAAGAGATTGTGATTGCGTGCCTCGCGAATGGCATAAAAAAAGCTGCTACAAAATATAATTGTCACATCTATTAATTTCATCTCCAAATTATATCACCTTCAATATTACGATTATTTACGACGTGCCTGCGAAAGTAAAAAAATTAGTTCCAGAGATGCAGTCGGAAGTACAACATCATAGTTCGATGTTTTATATATAAAATCCATGTATTTACGAAAACCGCCGTGGTATACCGGAATCTTAACACTGCGTTTTATGACTATTGATTGCGTCTCGTTATCGGCGTCATATAAGATAAGATACTTCAAACATGTTTGCGCATTTATTTTAAACGCAAACGCGTGATACAACTTTGTTCAAATCTTGATTAGCCCACCGGCAAAGTTTTTCTGACCAGTCCTATTTTGACCTTTTGCAGAGCAATTTCTACTATAGGGCCAGGCATTATAAGAACTGCAGGGCTTGATTTAATGATATGTTCATATGTTCACGCTTCTTGCTTCGTAATTCGTTCTTCGGCGATCTTATCCGCTAATGCCACACTCTCATTGGTTGTGGAGTGATAACAGGATGCTCGGAATTGTCACTTTCTGCGTTTCTTAAGCTGGCACTGACTAAACACCGTGACTTTTGACGCCTTCCTGTTACTAAACACTTACCTTAACAAAAGAAAAAGAAAAACACGGTGAATTGAACTTATGTATCCCGTTTCCTCTATTTGGAACAGAGCTCCTGATCCAGCACTCGACCGAGAGCCTCGCCCTGGAGGTGCTCCTCAACCCAGAGGTGTCCACGTTCCGGCAATGTTTCCAGAACATGATGCTCTCCGGCACCACACACAAACACGTCATTCACGCCGGCTACGCCTTCGGGGGGTCGGGGGACTGGATCCTCCGGGACGGCGTCTTCAGCTGCCACGACCTGGAGTCGGCCCTCCATGATCCAGAGGTCGAACAGGCCCTGCGAAAGCAGAGGTTTCACACCCTCCATGTCCACTGCTCCCCCGAGGGCTCCTGGCGCCAGCCTCCGGTCGGGGTGAGCCTCAACCCTCCGGACATCGTGGACCAACTGGCGGGATCCAACCACCTGCTCTCCTGCCTGGACACGGTGCTGACTAGTCCGCCCCTGACGAGCCTCCTGCCATCGTCCAGCGTGGTGGGCAACATCCGCTTCAGGAGGCCCACCATGTACGTGTTTCCGGGCGGCCAGGGCGACTGCGCCCTGTTCGGTGTCACCGGCTTCACGCTGCTTGTGGACGGCGGGTTCGCGAGGAAGCCTTGCTTCTGGGAGTTTGTACGACACCTGGACCGCCTGGACTCGGTCCTCGTCACCAGATTCAACCAGTTCAACTCGTGCGGCCTCACTGCTCTTGCGCAGAGGAAAGCGCTCGAGAGAGTCTACCCGCAGGTGGGACACGTCTTCTGTAATGCGGTCAAGTCTCCGTCCGATGAGGAGCTGCAGAAAGACCGGGACCAGCTTCTTGTCAGCGTAGTTGCGCAAGGACTGGAATTTTTACAAGGAGTCCGGGAAATGGGTCTTGCTCCTCAAGCCTGTCGCCAAGACCAGCATCCATTGACCTTGTACCACAAGGTCGGACACGGGACGCTCGAGATGTACGTCTTGAGCCCAGGACGTGCGAACGACGAGGACAGCTCTGTGTGTGTGCTTCTGGTGTGGCGACCTGCCAAAGTGTCCGAGCCTGTAACCCGCATCCTGCTGCCTGGCAGCGCAACACAGAGCGTCATATTTGAAGGTTTGAAGAAACTGAGCCACCTTTCTGTGTTAAAAAGTCGTGCGGTGACGGCTGAGACGCGGATCGGACTCAAGAAGCCCAAGGTCCAGGAAAAGCCGGTGCGGGCGGCGTCCGTTCCGCCCAGGTCTGGCGTGGCTAGGAGGGCAACCGGAAAAGTGGAATCACCGTCACCGTCCCCGACGCCCCCGGAAAAACCAAAAGCAACTTCCAAAGTAAAGGCCAACAAGCCCGTCGAGCACATTGCCAAAAGACAAGCAGAAGAGCAGAAAAAAGCTGCTCACAAGGCAGCCAAAAAAGAACCAAAGAAAACTGTTATCGACAAGATAGCGGAACAAGTAGACGAAAAGAAAGAAGACAAGCTCTCCGTGAAAGATGAAACGACAGCCATTGAAAATATCATAGAGAAGAACAATATCGTCGAAGCACTATCTAAGAAAGATCAGGATGACATTGTGGACAAAGAACTGACCAACCTCATAACCGACAGAACTTTGGAGAAAACAAAAGGCGACGCAAAAAAAGTGGATACAACAGAACCCAGTGACAGGCACAAGCCCACGGAGAAAGCTTCCGCTAAACGTGAAGTAAAAAAAGTGACCCAGCCGAAACCAACAGCAAAGTCCAAAGGAGCCAAGGATGTGACAAACAAAAAAACCGTGGAGGCTAAAGCTGTTGCTCGCAAAGCAATCGAACCTACGAAAGCGAAGCCGCGTCCGGCGGTTACTCCTCCTACAAAACCTCTGGTCCGGGACTCAAGGTCGAAATCACCAGCTAGTTCAGCCTCCAGTTCCCCCAAGCACGCCCCTTCCAAGCCGACGCATGAACGACCAGTGAGGTCGGTAAGGGGAGGAGCACGGACTGCAAAACAGGCTTTGGCAGCGCTGGAAGGAGCCGCTGATGTTGCTCTTTCGAAGGCTGGCGAAAAACCAACCGCCCAAGTGAAGCCCGACAAAAGAATTGAACTTGTGAGTCAGTCTGCGGATGAAAGTTCAACTTCAAGAGAGGCAATCGAAGAAAAGGAAGCGACGGAAGCGACCAAGGAAGAAAAGCCAAGCTTTGAAGGAGTGGGAAGCAGTGAAAGCCACAAGGAGACAATCGAAGCAGATCAACTAGAAGAACCTCTACCAGAAGCTCTCGATAAGCTTCACGTACAAGGTGAAATCAGACCTCCAGAAGAAATAATTTTACATGAAGCTGTGGCAGGTTTACAGGAAACTGGTAGGGAAGAAAAGCCGTCAGAGCAGAAACCGAGTGATGAAAAAGGTGAGCTCGACGAGTTAGACCATGTACCATCACCGGAGCCGACAGTATCAGCATCGTCTGAAGGCGTTCCTTCTCTTGAGGATGAAATTCTAGAGATTTCGCCAAGAGACAACGCATCTGTTCCTCCCTGCGCTCTTGAAGCGGACCTGAGCCGAGTTCGTGCCCTCTCCAGCGGACAGCGAACTCCAGATTCCCTGGATACACCACGCGAAGTCGGAGATGGCACTGCTCCATCCACAGAGCAAGATATTTTGGCTGCTATGGAAAAACACAAGCTTGTTTCCAGAGAACAAGTCGCGGAAATGAAAAGGCGAGACTCTTTGGACTCCATTGAAGGAGAAGTTCCAATCGAAGAAGAGGAAGCCGTCCCGTTGCATCTAGATGCTGAAAAGATGGCACCAGTTTGTTCCGAGCAAGCGAAACCGTGGGAGGCAGAGTCAAATATTCACCAGGTAAAAGAAGTGGGGCTTTCTCCTGAACTTAAAGCCCCTTTTGGAATCACCGTTGACACCATTCACTCCACTGAGATCCACAAAGAGGAGACAGGTGCAACGCCCCAAGTCGCTGATATTCAACAGCAACCGGGGCCTATTACTCCTCCATTTACCCCTGACAACAATATCGATGGCGATGAAGTAGCACACGAAAGTCAAGAGAAATTACTAGCCACCTCTCAAGTCAGTCACAAAGACGAAAAAGAACAAGATGTTGCAAGGCGCGATGAACGATCGCCTTCGACGGATTATAATTTACGGGAAGATGAAGGCAACAAAAAGGCAACAGCCAGGTCTCCTCTTCTTACAGAAAACTCCCAAGTACCCCATAGTAAAAGAGATTCTCTGTTAAGCGACGACAATGAGATGCAGGAGTACGGCTTTGTGAAAAAAGCAGAAGACGCATTAGACAAAAAAGAGTCAGATAAGGAGGACATTCGTGAACTGAAAGATCAAAAAGAAACCTCAGATGTTCAGCAGGCTTCTGTCGTCTCAGACACAGAAATGGTACCCCTCGAAGATATCAGTAGAAAAAGCTCCCAATTGCTTCCCTCTGCTGAGATGACTCCTGGCGCTGAGCCCCTGACGGCCGAAGATATTTCAGCCGGAGATTCACACGGTGATCACGAAGCGTTCTTGACTACTGCTGAAAATGAAGATGCTAAAAAGAAGCACCCTTCTCTCCCTAAATCAAAGCCAGAACAAGTTACAGAAAAAGAAATGCCTGATATCCCTGGAGAAGCGAAACCAACACAACAGTTTGTTGAGCCTGAAGAGATTAAAGGAAAAATATTTCAAGCTGCGCAACCTGACGATGGGAGCTTCTCTTCGGAATCACTAGTGGAAAAAGATTTTCTGGAACACGCTAAAAGGAAAGATGAAGAAGAACAAAAGGCTGATGAAAGTCTCGGCGACGTTTGTGACATTCCAGTAGGTTCTGAGGGGCTTGAGGAAGCTGAAATAAAACCCAGCGATGCCGCTTCCAGACCAGTGGAACATTTGCCTACAGACGAAGATATTCAGCTACACGCCAGAGAACCACCTTCCATCATGGACAAACATCCCCAAGAAACGTTGAAGTATTTAAAAAGTGATCAGACAGAAACCAGCAAATTCGAAGATGACGAGCCCAAGGAACAGGAAATCAAACCAATGAAATCGGAGACGAAACAATCCGCTGAAGTAATAACTGCTTTTACAGAAGAAATTATCTCGGATTCAGCGAAGCAGCATTCCCCAAAAGAAGATATGAGTAAAACAAATGAACTAGAACTTTACCAAGAGCAAACTGCAGCGCCCCCTGAAAAACGAGATGCAAGTCAGACCGAGCAAAAAGAAGAGAAGCCTGCATTATCGGCAGAACCTGTGCACACCGAGAAGACCGATCATGAAATAAAGTCTGATATTAGTTTTACTGCTTTAGCAACCCAGGACCTGGGTGTTGAACAGGCTTCCTATCCAGAGCCTGACTATAAAGCAGAAGACTTTGAAGCTCCATCAATCGCAAAAGAAAGTTCGTCTCCAACTGCTCCCGACAGTGGCATTTATGAAGAGACCACGGAGTTTCCTAGAGAGCAGTCAGAAATGCAACCACATGAAACTGCCTCGGAGGATGGTGATACGTCGACAACGCCTATAACATTGAAGCCTGAGAGAACCACAGGTCTTGAACCCTTTAAAGTGGGAACCGCGGAAAACATCGTTGATGAGTCAGAATTCCTCATCGGAACCAAAACTGAAGCTCCGTGTTTAGAGAAGTTCGAGGATCTTGAACCAAAACCCAAAGCTTTTCTTCCTGGAGAACGTAAAATTGCTCAAGATAAGGAACAAGAACCAAGCAAAGCCGCCGCCACCAAACTCTCCGATGACAAAGCTGTTGAGCCTGAAGATTCTCAAAGACCAAGGTTAGATCATGCCCAATCAGAAAGGCCGCAATCCACCGAAGCTGAAAAAACTACCGCGGATATTCCGATGTCACCGGAGAGCGAGAAAACCGATACCCACTTGAGGGAGCCCGTTCTGCAGGATGAAGTCGGCGGTAGAGATGGTGAGCCTGATGCTAGTGTCGTTCCTCGGGCTGTTGTAGAAGCAAGAAGGGAATCAGCGGAAACGACTGACGCCAAAATCGTTATGGAAAAAGAGAAAGCGCATGAGTTCAGCGACGACAAGCCAAGTTTCCAAAAAGACAAAGAAAGCAGTGAAGCACTAGAACCGGAGCATGACCCATCTGGAAAAGACAAGCCCATTGAATTTTCAGAAGATTCGAACCAGAACATTAAAGAAGACACCATTGGCGGAAAGTTTTCCATGCCCGGGGAGGATATGGATACGCAAGACGAAAGCGTGTCGCAAACGAAAAAGAGCTTCAGGGAAGAAGAAGAAGAAGAGGAGGAGAAAGAACCTAGAAAATTGGAAGAACCTACTCCAAAAGTTACCAGTTCACTAGGAAGTTATCCCGACGATTCAAGTACACTAACCCAGGATACCTCTTCCCAAACTACTGCCCAAACAATTCAGTCACCGGAAAAAACTGATTTGAAACCTCTCATATCACGCGATGAAGAACGGTCGTTAACTAATGGATCTGACAGCTTAGAATTGCAAGCAACAACTCCTGGTGTAGATACACTTGCGCCTGAAGAACAAAAGCGGCCTGAAGAACGTGCCGTCATTCAGCAAAGTGAGATAGACACGCCAGGGGAGCGAGACAGCAAGCCCATGTCAGAGGCGGATGACAGAGTTTCTAAAAAACAAGCAACAATCGACCTTGAAAAACTTAGAGATGACCACGAGCGACAAGACGAATTGACTTTTGATGAGAGTCACTTTCATGGCATACCTGACGCCCGGACTCCACACACAAAAGAAAAAGAAGCTCCGGACGTACTTGCACGAGAAACAGAACCTCCTAAACTAAATGAAATGCCCGTCATACTTCCCACTCATTCCGAAGAAAGAAAAGACGAACCACGTCTGGTTCAGGATTTAGCAATCAAAAAAGAGGACAGCGAGATTCCTCAACAAGACCTAAATTTAGTAGAGGACGCACTCAAGGCCACTGCTGATTTAGCAAACTCTTCGGCCCCAATCTTAAGTCATCTAGACGAAACTCAAAGCGAGCTTACTCGTGACAAGCTGCCTAGCAGTGAAGACCTCTCCGGAGTTAAAGCTATTACCCCTACAATCGCTGCTTCTGAGGAGGCTGTTCCCCCGCTGAGAAAAAAACGTGAGTTCGCAGACGATGAAGATCATTATATTCATCCCGTAGAATCAGCTGTAAGGGACATTTTAGATGAAGACGTGCACTTAAAGACGACTAAGAAGCCAAGGAAGGACTCAAGGTCAGACGACGAAACGCTCGGAGTATCCGAGAAGATTTCTGGTCCTGGACAACACGAGGGACAACACCAGAGAAGAATTGAAGTGCAAAGTATTTCCGACGACTCAGTTTCGGATCTGCCGGGTGATACAGCAGCAACGCCGTCCGAGCCAGCTGAACAAACAAAACGTGACTATCCAGAACTTCATGATGATGACGTCTCAAAAGAAACTGATGAACCCAAAAAAGTGGATCACCTCCAACAGCGCCACCTCAAGCAACATCCTTCTACGCCCGAAGAGATGACAGCAACCATGGGGAAAGTGCCACAGAATATATCTGGTGAAGACAAATCCCGGATCGACCAATTCGACTTGCCTCAAAAAGACTTCGGTGTTGAAAAGCTACTTGGAGACCAGAATGCACAAGAAACCCCAGCACGTTCGATGTCGGATGGCTACGATCAAACGACTTTAGAATTAAAAACTGAGGAAGCAAAACATAAAATCGGCGAAGAACCACCTGACATGCCAGATTTCACAGATTTAAACGAACGTAAACCGTCAAGGGGTGCAGTTAAGGAGTTGTTTGAAGATATCACAGGACCAACCCGTCAATCGAAAATAACCACCGAAGAATCGGTCATTCCCGTAGAGCCTGAGGCTGTTGAAGACCACGAGAAACTCGTCGTTTCATTTACCTCGGATCAAAGCGAAGTTAGAGTCAGTCCCGATTTTCCGACGAGGGAAGCAGAAAAACAAGACCAAACTAAACCAGGGACTCAAGAGGAACTACTAGAAGATGCGTACCTTAGCAAACGCGAATCAAGCGTTGCCATTCAAAAAGACTCCGATCGCGTCGAAACATCCGTTCGAAGCCCGCATATTATTGACACTGAACATCACAAACCCGAAGAGCCTAAGGACGCCTGTCATACTTCAGCTGACAAAGTTTCTCTGACCAAACTAGAGAACGAAGCCTTTACAGATGAGGATGGAGGAGCTCAGAAGCAAGAAGAAAATATTGAAGATGTTGAAAACACATCTTTATTAATATCCGAGAAGGAAACAGAACCCCCATATCTGCCCTCCGAAGCTAAAGCACCAAGTAGTGGTGAAACTACAAGGCAACCAGATCCACAACACCGCGACAAACTTTCGGGTGTTATCGGAACTAACCTTCGAGAGGATTTCCCCAGAGAGGATGAAGATACCACGCTGTTTAAGACCACAAGTGAGCACATTATCGACGAGCATCATAAAGAGGAAGCTCCCGACACATCGGGCCTGGTAAAAAGAGATGAAGACATTGCCGAGCAGCCAGTGTCTTCCACTCGAATTCAACCATCAAAAGAGGAAGCTGGTTTAGCACCTACGTCACAAAGCTTAGATCAATCACACAAGACTGACGTCGAGGAGGAGGCTATGGACGTTCCCGTCCAAAAGCAAGAGACGGCAGTTTACGAAAAATCACCTGACATGGGGGTAAGAATTCATGTTGGTGACAAAAAAGAAGTTGAAAAACCCCAAGAAGAAATCAAGCTTGATTTAAGCGACCTCGAACCACACGCAGCAGAGCATGACGTAATTTTGGCATCGCTAGCAACCCTAGTAAAAAGTGAAATACCTGCAACCTTGGATACATCAACAGTAAAAGCAGTCGATCACTCTGAAGCACCGCAGACCGTTTTAGAGAAGCTTATTCCGGGAGCGCATCACCAAATAGACGATGACGTACTACTGGAAGACCTTAAAGCTTTTGAAGCAGATTCTGGGGAGGTCACCGATGGAATGGAAGCTACTTTTCCCACTGACGAAAACTTAAATGTAAAGCAAAGCCTGGAAATACCTCTTGCTAAAGCTTTGCAAGACCAGGTAACCGAGGAAGACGCAATCGTCCCCAAAGAAGGCGTTTCCACTGGTTTTGATTTCAGATCACCATCAGAAGTTCTAAAAGTACATCTTCCGAAACCTGAAAAAGAGTCTGACATTAATGAGGTTTTTGCCGAGTCTGCTCTCCTACAAAATGCATCTCCTAACGAAGACGACAAGCTCCTTTTAGAATCTCTCAAACAAGAAATAATTGACGAATGTTTGCTACAAAGTGAAATGGTTGCTAGCCATGTCCCACTTTCGCAACATGATGTACCACCAGCTGATTCTCTAAATGAACTCACTGACAAAGCCCCTTCAGACAAAGCACCGACTGTCTTTGCTGAGAAAGTTGAACAGAGGCCAGAAGCAAGGCAGTTGTTACTTGGTGATCATGCGTCTGCTGAAGAAATTGGGAAGATTTGCCTGAAAGATGGCACAGATGTGCGCCCTACGGCCCCTTCGCCCGCACACGTAAGCGAAGAGAAAGTCACTCAATCATTCTTATCCTCAGCTGCTGAAGACTTACATGATGAGGATTCTCATAATATATTATCAGCCGACAAGCCCGAGGATATCTTAGCTGAAGAATCTTCTTTGCCTGCCTCAGATCTTCCAGACACCGTTTCTCTCTCAAGAGAGTCACCATTAAAAGGTAAGACATGATGGCCGCTGAGAACATAGTTTTTTTAACACGGCTATTATATATTTTATTTTCAGACGGACTCATCGACAAGCAAGACGGCTCGAGCCCTTCAGAAGAATCTGCTGAACATCCCGGCAAAATACCTCAAGTTGCTATAAAAGATCAACACTCAGAAGAGCCCGAACAAGACGGAGAAGATGATTCATTTCTTCCTGACGATTCACTGCCTGTCGTGCAAACTGCAAGAGCGCCTGACGACACACGAGATGAGGAGGTACTTCCAAAACAGTCCGACACCCTAGAACCAAACGAAAGCAGACAAAAACCTGAAGATGGAAGGGGACTGGATTCTTCTAAGGAGCTTCCAGAAGAAGCACTTGACAAGCCATCGAGAACACTAGGTCCCGAAATGCGCTTTCCACAAGACGACACTGACACGCATATATCAGATACTTCTAAAGTTTATGAAACCGCACCATCTGTTCTTGAAGCACCGGCGGACGTTGCTGATGTTGATCAAGCCCCTCCCGCGAAGTCTCCAGAACAGCTGTCAGTCATCGGTTCGGAAGATGTGAAGCAGGACATACCAGCGGTACGGGATGTGCACGAGACGGCTTCGAGACCTATTGAAGACGCGGCACCGGATGACGGACAGGACGCCATGAAATATGTGGAGGAAGGCCCACGTGGTGCACTGGAATCTGATCCTGCTGAAAGACGGCTGAATGGCCATGATACTGAGTTTCTCGAGCATGTCGAAACTTTAAACTACATGAAGCCAACGGCTCATATGACAAAGCCAGGAATTGACAGCGCAATCTTCCTGTCCGACACCAAAGAAGATTTAGAAAAGGTTCCCATGGAAACAACTCTGGCGCCATCCTCAGAAAACGTCTTGGGCGACGTAGTGCCAGTTATTTTGGGAAAATCTTTCACAGAAGAGCGTTCCCATACGTCATCATTGCCTGTTGCTAATGAAGAGCATGAGGAGCTTACGAAGACATCAAAGATAAAAGCTAGTGAGCATGAAGACCTTGAAGACACCTCGTCAGAAATATTGACCAAGCTTCCAGATAGTACTTCTAAGAGCGAGGAGCTCGTGGTTTCTTCAGCTGATGAAGCTGTAAAAGAAATAAAGAAGCAGGAACCAGATCAAGATTTCAATAACATTTTAAAAGATAAACAAGAAGACGTGAAAGAAGCTACGGAAGTGAAGTCAGATGTCTGCGAGGCAGCGGATACACAAAAAACTTTCAGGGTTGCACCCACAGTAGACGAGGAAAATATTACCCCTGATGTGCTGCTATCAGGCACAGAGAGTGTAAAAGACGAACTTCCCATTCGGGTAAGACAGGACGGTTCTGACAAAGCACTCGACAAAACTGATATAGAGAAATTCGAATGTTTATCTGAAGAAGGCGAATTAATAGAAACAAGCCTTAGGACCCCTGATGATGACCGACAATCTTACCCGTCTACTTCCCAAGTTATCCAGGAGTCAAGTGAGGCAGGTACTATTCTCAAGGAAGTGAAAGAACCCGAGGGTACCGCAGAAATTACGGATCATTCAAAGGCCTCAAGGGTTGAGACGCCATTAGTCAGTGAGCCCACTCTTGAAATTAAAGTGATTTCACTCCTTGAAGATCCTAAGACGCGAGATATATCTCAGCAGCCAAAAGTACTGGCCGCAAAAGATCTGGGAGAGCTGACAGAAAAGATAGACGACGAAATTCACGAAAATGGTAGCCCAAATATACAATACGTGGAGTCGGTACCAAAGGTCTTCTCAGTTGATGTCCACGCAGAAGAAGAGACGAATTTGGCATGGAAAGAGAAAGAAACAGAGCCAGAGCTGCACAAAGAAGCAATTCCTTGTGATATCAGCGTTGAACCAGCAGAAACAGAGGACATATCGAGCAAGAAAGTGCCTGGTCAAGTGCCCGAAGAAAAAACCATGGAAAGCAAGCAGCCACCGGCGAAACCGTCAGAAGCTGCTGATGCCCACGAATTAACTCAAGGGTTCATTGAAAAATTAACAGACACCTTACCAGCCCCTGAACATGACACAGGGAAACAAGAGCCCACAAAAGATGCAGTTTTGGCAAATTCTGAAATCAAACTTCCTGTTCTACCAAAGTCAATGTCAGTACCCGACAGAGAAGACCTGATATCTTGTGGAACTTTGCAAGATGGCAAAATTATGCAAACAAAAACAGAAACTGACGTACTCCCCAAGGACGGGACAAAATATCAGGTAAAAACAATGGAAGATCACGTCAACGATGCAGAGACACCAAAAATTGGAATTATAGCAAATCTGGTTGAACAAGGAGTGGAGGGGGTTGGAGACTGGATGAGAACTTCCATTCACAAAGATCAAATTCAAGAGCCCGATTCGTCGAGAAAAAGAGGTGATAAGAGTGCTGTCCTGAGCCAAGAAGAGTTTGAGAAATATCAAGTTGAGAAGTCGTACGATAAGATGTCGCTAGAAACAATTTCTCAAACAGAGAAACTAAATCAGCAGTACGAGCTTCAGCGAGGTACCTTCACTTCAACTGAAGACGAGAGAGAAGACCGTGTGGAAGACGACAGACAAAGCACAGAAGAAACTCCCATCGAAGTTGACATGACTACTAAAGCGAAAACTGAGCTCCTTGAACCATCAAAACCAAAAGAACAGACAATTCCGGCATCCGAGGCACCATTGCAGGATCCAACAGAGATTCAGAAAATTGATACTGGTGACAAGCATGATAAAATTAACAAAATCCCGGAAGATGAGGCAAGTCAGCTGAAAGTTGACCTTGAACATCCGGACACGGCCGTTCTAATGACGAAAGTCTCCGACGTCACTGAGACTCTGAAAGATGTTGTGGGCAAAGGGATTGAAGATGGTGAAAAGTGTGACGACAAGCTGGCAGAAGATTATATTAGTTTGACAGAAGAAGCTGTTGTGCGGACAACATTTGCTCCGACAACATATCCGAAGCATCTTCTTCCTTCAATCCCAGGTGATTCGACGGCCGTGGACTCCCAAGACCTCCTTAGCGATAAACCTATTTCCGGGGAAACGACCCAACAAGAAGTTCCGTGGAGCGGACACACAGGAGGTGGAACAGAGGCAATGAAAGACCCTTCAGTGGAAATAACCGATCAGCCGATAAAAGATCCAAGGGCATCTATTTCCCTAACTGAAGACCCAGCTCTCACACTTTCGCAGAAAAGACCTTCATTGGAGTATGAAAGCTCTATTACGTCCGTTTCGGACACGGAATGTGGCCCGGAGGACAAGGGCCTGAAAGTTCCCCCATCCGACAGCGGCTCCGAAGCTTTGAAAGAAGCTAGCGTAATAGATGGTGAGGGAAGTCGTTCAAGTCCAGATGTTTCTTTGCCGAGCTCGCCAGTAGACAAAATTCCACATGATAGCTCACGTTTATCAAAGAAAGCTCGCACGCCTACTGAGTCCAAACCTTCCATTTTTCCCCAAGAATCATCAGAAGCGGACATCTCGAGTGAAGGAGACGACAGTCCACCCAAGAAACCTGCAAGTATCGAATCGGTGAAAACACAAGACACTTTCTCAGTAAAGGCTCCAACCGACGGTGACGACGTCGTAGCACCGAAGGACTTGCCATCAATTGATCGTGATATTGCAGCGCATGAGGTCGCTGCGGCTGATTACTCTAAGAAAGAAGACAGTAATGGGATGAGCGATGATGGAGGCGTACAGAGTGATACATCTCACATTGAGAAAGCTGGCAGAGAGGATTCAGCACAAGCAAGTAGGCTGGTAGAATGTGCTCCGGGCCAACAATATTTGACCAGTGGTGCAGATGACGAAATTCAAGGACAAAGTGAAACTTCAATGGTTGCACGGAAGTCGTCAACTTCACTTGGTTCGTCTGAACCGGAAAAAGCTGACGTTTATGGCACGGAATACCGTGAATCAGAGAACTATATGCCATTATTAACGCATGACCAAAAATATACGACGCGCAAAGAAGGGGATTTCAGCTTGCCCGAAGATACGACTGAAAGAAGGGGGAGCCTCGTGCAGATTAGTACAACAGAAGCTGCGGTGCCAAGCGAACGGAATGAATTAAACTGTCGCCCTGATTCATCCACTAAGGACATGACAAACGCAGTGGCTCAAAACACAACCGAAAAACAATCCGAGCTTCAACTCTCGGAAACACATGAAACAGCCAGGGAGGAAGGCTTCACTGTGTCGAAACAAATAGAACCCTCAACAGTTCCCATGTCAGATTCTAAACCAGTTCCTGAACAAATGCAGGATGATAGTACGAGCCTTTACACGTTACCAGAACAAAAGCAGCAGATTGGTAGCTCAGCTAAAGACATCACGCTTCCATCATCTCAGTCCGTATCAGCAAGAGATACTGAAATACTGGATGACTATTCAAAGCGACTGAATTTAACCCGCGACGACAGAGTGAGCGTGGATTCTATTTTTAGCCTGACATCTGAGGAAAGAAGCTATGCGGAATTAGAAAAACCAGATTACAATGATGAAGTAGCACATATCACAAACGAAGGCATTGAAAAGGGCTCTCTCTATGACAACAAAAATGAAGAGCGGGAAGATTTTAAGAGAGAAATCTCTCAGGAACAACTGGGGCCCGAACACTTTGAACAAACAGACATGACTGAAAAGGACGTGGAAAAAGATAGAATCTTTGATTTTTTGTCGTCAAAGAAACATGCCGCACCAGTTGAGCCAGAATCTAGCTTGGCCGAGGAGTTGGCAAAAACTGAAGAACCAGCGAGGACTCCCGCAAGGGCTTTTTCAGGCAGCATGTTTGCTTCGAGCTCAGTCGTTCCCACTACTTCTATTAAAGAAGACGAGTCTGAAATCCTGCAGGATGATGCCAAGAAAAAAGAGCCTGCTGCACATAATATCAAGTCGCCAACGCATTCAGATGTTCCGCAACATGGTATTGTCTCAGGACTTCTTGCAGCTCTACGCACAGAACTCTGTGTCATTGACTCCGCGGATTTGCTAAAGGAAGGTGTACTAGACGAGACAGAGACAATTGTGACACCGCAATTAGAGAAAACGTCTTCGGGCTCTATAGAAAACATTCCGCAAAAGAAAATAGACGAGGACCTGAAGCCATTGGACGAACTGACATCGGGCTTAAGCAAGATCTCCAGAGACCAAGGAATGGACACGTCAGAGCATACAACTCCTTTTGAAGAGCCTAGCATGAAAATCGATCGATCAGAAGTAGTTAGTGACGAAACAACTGAAAATGCGAAAATCACGGCAGAAAAAAAACTTTCGGGTGCAGTTGGCATACTTGGTGAAGAAATAAGGAAGGAACCCGAGGAGGAGCTCCACGGTGCTGCAACAGTGACCGAAATCGTAGACGAAACTGAGCAAGACGACTTAACGAAAGAAGCGAATCAAATTAAGGTGATTCGGTTTCAACTGCACGATGAGCACTCAGCTAAATCAGGATCGAAAAAGCCATTATCTTTAATACCAGAAGACTATCCAACACCGTCGACGGCCTTCGGAACTCTTGATGACGAAGATAAAACAAGCACCCTGTTTGAACAAGCTGTACGCTTGGAACAGTCTCACGAAGCCGCATTTTTGGAAGGTGCCACGACAGATGAAGAAGACACATCCTTGAAGCTTTCCCAACCTGATCATCAGGACGATGTTCCTGCCAGAATGCAATCTACTGAACCCACGACTCAAGCTGTTATCCCAACGGAGGAGAAAGAATTAGACGAGGAAGGGCCCACACTTGCTGCTGCTTTGTCATCTGCTCTTCCGACAGAACTTGTGTGCATGGTTCAGTCTTCTACAGATCTCCAAAAAGACATATCTTCACTCGCAAAGACGTTAGGTTCAATGGAACTAGAACCGTCTGTTAGTCATAAGCCAGATACGGAAGAACCAGTGGATGTCGCAGTCGGACTTGCATCTGGCCTTCCCGTTGAGTTGGTCTGTGTGATGGAATCTGAGGAGGTGTGCTCCGAAATAAAACGGGCCGGGAAAGAGGCGGCTCACAAAGCCTCTGAAAAAAGTGCCGAACTCACAGGAGCTATACCTCCGGAGACAGACGCTCAAATATTAATGTTTGAAGAGTCACAGCCCAAGAAGTTTCACGCACCTTCGGAAGACGAGTGCCAGACCCAGGGTGGTCGTAAAGAGCCTTTTCACGGCGAAATAGATGCAGAAAGAGTCCCTCTTTTTAGCCACAAACAAAAGTCTGATGAGAAATCTGGAAGGATTGAACACTTTGATGCAAAACAAGAGGCACATGAACACGATGATCAGTCCCCTTCAGATGCTAAGACACCACTGTCACCTAGTGTCGGACTGGTAGCTGGATTAGCTGCTGGACTGGCGACCGAACTAGTTTGTATTCCCCAATCATTAGAAGGAATTTGTAAGGATCCTCTTGAAACAGAACGGCCTTCCTCCGAAGTCACGACTCACGGGATCGACATGGGATCGCCAAAAACTGAAATTCCCGAGGAGCACGCTGTATCGTCAAAAACGGCTCAAGGTTTGGAAATGCACGACCAGCAACAGCTAAGCGAAGCTGGGTATATTGATGAAGGTCGTCGACCATTGCGCCATGTGACTATGGAGCCGGAAACTCATCGAATTGACACAACGTCCACAACATACCAAGCTGAACACCCTTCCGATGCTCACCCTAATGACGCGGGCTTCAAAAGAGATGATGTCCTCGATCGCTCTCTAACAGATGGGTCTGAAAAAACAACTATAACATACGTCTATAAAACCGGCGATAGCGCCGAAGGCGGTACAGTTTGGGAACGGTCGGTTACCGGTGCACCCGGCTCTTTCGACTACGCTGAGGAAGGGTTCCCAACAACGCTACAAACGTCAGGCGTTCTAGAGCTTCGTTCGCCCCATCAGGAAGAACACAAAGAAAACGAAGAGACTTCCGACGGTTCTGTTCGGAGGCAGGTTTATGAATTCCCTGCGGACCGCGAAGACCAAGACACTCCGATTTCCCGATCCGACGACTCAGGAATCTCTTTTCCAGAGCACGCAGGTTCTTCTATTCAAAAAGTGGCAATGGAAGAAGTTGCTCGCATAACAGAATTAGCAACCTCCGCGCTCTCGGAGTCGCTCAACGGCCAATTTAGCATGCGTGCATCGGACTCCTCTGCGCAGCGTCCTCTGGAACTCGTGCGTCCAGTTAGACCGGTTGAGGGAGAGGAGGAACGAAATGTTACGCATGTCACCCAGGTGAGACAGGTGGTCTATCACCCAAGCAGTAGTTCCGAAATGCATTTCCCGATGGGATACCCTGCCGAAGAAACCTGCCTTCCCCCGGAAGGCAGCGATCCACAGACAATCTTGCAGTTCATGGCAGCCCAGACCAAGCAGGCTGCAAAGGAGATGCTGGAGGAACAGCCACTTTACGAGGAAGACGAAGAATGTGCCATGGAACAGAGCTTGACGAGTGACGCCAGCCCCTTGGTGGAAGAACCAGTCTTCGCCAAAACCCTGCAACCGGACTACCCTGAACTCGTGGAATTGTCGGGCGGAAACACCCCGTCGGAGCCTCCGAGTCCTCGGTCTCCGTTCGATTCTCGAACAAAACATAATGGAGAGTCTACGTCGTCCGTCCAAAGGATGGTGGTCATTGAGGAAAGCGAAGCCCCATCCAGTCCAAGTAGACCACACATTCACAGAATTACTAGGCGCGTCGTGGAAGGACCAGTGACCGAAATACAAGAGACCTGGACTTTACAAGGTGATGTAGCGGGTCTGCAGGCACTGCCGGAAGGCTCCTCGAGAATTCTCCTAGGATCTGTACAACGATCTGAAACCTCCTTTGAACCTCGAGATGGCGCGACCAGAGACTTTACACGCGATCAAGAATGGCAAGAACTGCCTCGTGCGGAGCAAGACATCGTCCAGCAAGCTTCTTGGAAGACTACTGTTGTAGAGACACGACATGTCCCAGTGCCCGGAGATAGCGCAAGTGCGGACTCTCACGACGACGGCATTACTGCGTTTAGGGGGGCTCCAGAAGAGCGGAATGGAAACAGGGGTGGTGCCCCTTTCAACATTGACGACTGGGGAGAGCCTCTTGGCCTTCCCGTCCTTCCAGAACCACCCCGGTCCTACGACACATTGTCCTCCAAGACATCACGCACAAAAAAGGTGCAAAAAGGCGACGTTGTGTACGTCGACCTGACTTACGTCCCCCACCACGGTGACCCCGCCTACTGCGACGTTGAATTCTTCAATCGTGTTCGCGCTCGGTATTACGTGCTCAGCGGAACCAGTCCAAGCCAAGACGTCCTCAACGCTCTTTTGGAAGCCAAGCGTGGCTGGGATGACCCGGACGTGCCTGTGACCGTTATCCCGACGTACGAAACAGACGCCTTGTGTTACTGGATCGCCCTCAACCAGAAGGCTCTGGAAGAACAGAAGATCGACGTGGCTCCGTCTGCGTCCAGGTGCACCATCAATCTACAAGACCACGAGTCGTCCTGTGCTGCCTACCGTCTGGAATTCTGAACCCACTACCGCAAAGTACCTTGATGGTCTTTATTAGCGAGACTTTCTTACAAAATATAGTTGTTCTGCTTGCATTCTAGAACTCTTTCCCGGACGCGTCTGATCTTAAGTGTTTGACGGTCTGCTTTGGAGCACAAGCCAATATTTCAGGTAACATAACCAGTGCTTCCGAATTTCGGTCATGTATCATTGGCACTGTGAAAATTGTTTCTGCCTATGACACTGAAACATTGGACTGTGAGTGTGCGTATGTTTGTGAAAATACTGTCATTGTGCACGGTGTGGGAAAAGTTGGCTGTATACATGAAGTGTTAAATCAATCAGCACTTGATACAAGAGTCTGCACCGTTTTCATAAACCACTTGGGCAGCTACGTCCGAGTGATAGCGTTAATTAAGCTTCTATCTTTTCTTCTCCGAAGAATCGAGGCCCATATCGTTTTTCAAGATTTGAAAGGACTGTGCACATCTGACAATGTATTCACAGTGACATTTCTCCCAGGCTAAACCATTAAAAAGGTTATGTTATTTGTAACACTATGGCCTGCGGCAACAAGGGCAGACTGACCATATTTACCTTATTATAAAGTATACACTACTAGACGAAAGGGAGGTCACTTTACAAGACCCTGAGTAATTAGCAAGCGCACTTTCAACCTATACGCGGAACGAGACACTGGTGTGTGGGCGGCGCGAAACTGGAAGTGATGGGGAACAGCACTGAACGAATAGAGAAATTTTTGATGTTAGGTTAGATGCATTAACAAGCGCCGATTATCGAGCCGTCTTGTGGTCCCTCCGGCGTCTAGCTGTTCAACTCCCGCGCCCTCTACTTTGTTTGTGCGTGCACAATGCACTCTAGCCTTGCTCCCTTGTGGTATCCCATCATACCAGTTCTCTCGCAGTACCGGTAGTTTTCGTCGTTTTTTGTACTACAACTCCCGTGTGTAAACTTCCACTTTTTCATGCATGAACTCGACAGTAATTTCACCTCTAGTTCTAGTTTTGTTGCACGTTAAACTAGCACGCCCGATATCTCTAGTATACTATTTGTCTAGAACCGTAGACGTGTTCGGTTTCGGACCCTTCCAAGCTTCGTTGCAGTTTATTTATTTACATCACGGTAAAGAAGAGCTAGGGTTGAGACTATATGGTTACGCTTCATTGAGAGCTTTCTTTGTCTCGACTTGGCTGTGGTCCAAGAGACAACATAAAGAGGCTTCCATGAGTGTCCGTGGCATCTAGATTGTACTGCATGGAGCACAGAGCGGTCTTACACGCTTACGCAGTCACGTTATCCAGGAAGCTAACTTGATCGTTTCCCTTCGGGTGCGTCCGAAGCATGGCCGAGTAGTTGCACGAGGCCGTCTTCGCGCCTTCGGCACTCGGTCGGAACACTGTCGGAGTGTTGTCGCAGGGTACCTATGAAAAGTAAAGTCCTTCAGTTGCCCAAAAATTCTCCCTCGCTTTGGAGGCCAATGTTTACAACAACAACAAAAAAATGGCCTAGAATGCCAGTTGTACAATACGAACCCATCAGATTATCATTCCAGAGAAACGAGCTTAGTGAGAGACATTTCTTTTTTTGTCACTAAGATATGCTTCGGCAGACGTGCCAGTTTATTGCGTCGCAAAGTGGTCATGTGATATATCGCAGACGTTCCTCGGGAAAGGGGTATTTAACCTGAAGACTGGTCACTTTCTTTAGCTTCACACCAAGTTAGTCGTGTTAGTTTTAGACGAGAACGTAGTAATCGATGTAAATATAGCTTCGTTCCATTCTTAGCAAAAACGCCGGAGTCTCTTCGGTGTGCCTTATATTTGCTTAGATTTTTTCTGGCTACTAGGATTATAACAATAGCTGTAAAATGGCTTTCATTTTTTTTTTTTGTCCTAGACGTAGGTTAGAACAAAACAGCAGTCCCCCACGGTGGCAGCTTACGGATACAGATGTTTTTTTTTACCCCCTTCAATTCTCCTCTTTCTCGCATGGCCTTCCTTCACGGCCAGACGGTATTTGGTCCTTTTTCCCCAGCGCTGTTACACCCTAAACCGGGAACCTTGGGCCCATCTCGTTTCTGTACTTACTAAATGTATACACTCGGTATAGTTGCAAGCTAAGAGCTGCACTCACTCGCTGTACGTAACCGCGTGAGATGACGAGCAGGGATTGTATGAGGTGTGTGACGCGGTGGAAGAGAGTGTGAATCGAACTGACTGAAACGTGCACGCAAGTATGCGGGAAGCAAGAGGACACCCAGCACCCTTTTGTTTTCTCCCTTGTTACCTTTTTGGGTGCAGTCCTCGGATCAATTGAACTTGTCTCTAGTCAGCAGTTCTTTTTATCATTTTTTTTTTCTTCTTTATCGAAGTGCTGTGTTCCGTTTTGATGACGAGTATGTTAGGGTGTGAAGAATTTTCGACGGTCCACGTACCGTAACCTGAGATGGAGTGACTTAATAGTGAGGAGAGGGGAGGACAGCGCCGACGACCTGGTATCTGCTTCTTGGGAGAGGTCCGACCTTTTGTTCGGTGTGCCTCGCCACGTGATAATGAAGAGCGGCCTGAGCGCCCCCGATACGATCCGCGAAGGCGGTCGTCGCATTATTCTCCTCTCTCACGAGTGCATAGGGTCAACACTTGCCTGGCGCAACGGCTGACTAGGTAAAGACTGAAACCACCAATCGCCACGCTTCTTTTATATATATATAAATATATATATATAGTATAAATATATATTGTTTTCACGTTTTTGTTTTGTGTGTGTGTGTGTGTGATGCTGCTGAGTCCTCCTTGGCAATGCGATTCAAACCAAACCGAACTAATAGATGTACGTTTAATAAATTTTACTAATTGGTGAATCGTTGTCGACGTGCCGTTTGGGTGATGACTTCTTCGTTGTGATTACGTGCATTTATACCCTATACTTGCATATTCGTAGAAAACGATCGTGTTATCGAAATTGGTGTCGCCAACTTGATTGGATCGTTGTTGACTGCGCAGTCAGCTCTGGTGCAGATTCGCACTTCGCCACTGCATTTCTTTTAAGAGCCAGAATCCGCAATACAACTTTCTGGGCGCACCGCTCTGTTGTTGTCCGTGTGATGCATCTGACCTTCTTACGTTTTGATCTGTGTTTGCCAGTCTTGCAATCGGCGCGTGACGCAGCACCTTGCCATTTGCGTTGCGAGTCAACTGTGCATGACGAATTGAAGATAGCGAATAAAGCAAAGCAGCACTTGAAACACCTGGTTCTCACTGTTCAATGGGCGCGCACACTCCAGCCACAACCTTTCGTTGCCAACGACCGGGGTGGACGTTTATTAGCGGCGTAAGCTCTTAACTGCAGCGTTCAAAAAGGCTATCCGCAACTCCGATGAAACTGGCTCCACCCAGCGGAAAAGGCGCGAAGAAGAGAAACGGGACGCCTAAGCCTATCTAGGTGTGCAGCAAAAACTGCAGCAGCCTGGTGGCCAAACTGTGAAACATAGAAATGGGGATGAAAGGCAGGAGGCGGGAGTTATTAATACTACAATGTTGACGCTCGGTGGCCTACTTCTTATGCGGTCATCGTAAAGCTCGTTTCGCCGTTTACAAGATCACCAGCTTGCCACGATATCTTTCTGTAATTTCCGTCAATCCTGCTTTGGTCATTGTATAGAGCCACTGCATAAGCAACGCTTAAAGTGGCGGCACTCCGTTTCTATATTCTTCTTAAAGCGCCGCCATTCTATTCTTTCATCGGGAGCGGGAAGTATTAACAATTATTACAATTAAAAAAAAAAACTCTTTTTCGGTTTTTGCTATGGTGTCAGCTATTCGCGTCTGCAGCTCGTTGCTCGCCCTCCCGCGGCGGAAACGGGAAGCGCTCTAGTGAGGGTCCCCCGGTTCTCCTGCTCAGCGGGCACGGCGGAACTGCTCGCGATAATGGCTTGCGAAACGCCATTTCCGAATGCAAACAACATTCTTCACTGTTCCAATTTAGTGCTGCAGCCGGTACGGGGTTGTACCTCGTCAGAGAGCTTTGGTATTGCGTATAGAAGCAAACACTGTGCCTTTCCGTTAGGGTTGCGTGCTCCACGCAACTCTAAATTGGAGCATGGCGAACGTCGTTCACCATGCTTCAATCTAAGACCGCAATTTTGAACTGCGCGCACGCGCAGTGTGGAACGCGCAACGCTAGCACAAAGTGCTTGCGTTCGCTCGTATACGCAATGCTAAAACTCACTACTCTTTCACCGGTTCCCAACGCCAACGAAACGTGTTGCGGTGAGCAGACGAGCAAGCAGGTAGGCGTTCCTTCGAACTGGAAACGCTGAGATTGGCAAGGCAACGGTGCGTAAGAATTAAAAAAAAATAAATGTTCTGGGAAAATGGGTAATTAAAAAAAAAAAAAAAAGATAATTTGTTTCTTTTTTTTTTTTTCGGCGGCGGTGGGGAGGGGGGGGGGGGGGGGGACATTTGTTCCGGAAACATTGGCGGCAACTTTGTACCCGGAATTATGTAATTTTAGATGGATTTCTCAGATTAGCTAGATTGTTTTAATTGAGTTTAGTCTACTTTTATTTTATAGCTTGTTAATTAAAAATACCGCAATTGACACCAGTGATGATAACTTGCACACTTTTGATTGCCATAATTGTTCGCGCGTTTGAGATTAGATTATAAGCAACAAATTATATTAGAGCTTCAATAAGTACGTGTTAAACTATTTTAATTGTATTCTTATTATTAATACAAATTGCGGCAATATAGGCCCCCAGTAAGCGCCTCGTCGATCACATAAATACGCCATATAACCATAATAGGCTTTCTAGAAAGATATTACTTTGTTTTCTTTTTAGCATATGAAAAAAAAAAAAAACTTTGACATCGTTACCAAGATAGACAAACAGCCAAACACCGGATGTAATAAAAAGTCATATTCGTCACACGTACGTTGCTTTAAAAAAACACTTCAGCTGTCTGACTCGGATTTCGTTTTGGGGTTTCTGTAGTGAGAACAGCGGTGCAACGATATTCAACTGGAATGTTTTTCACTTTACACGAGCTTGCTGGCACACCTGGGACTCAAGGATACTCGCACGCAACGCCACTGGCCAGGAAACTTCTTTGTTGCGGTGTAATTTCAAGGACAAAACCAAGCATTTTCATTCATTCTCTCCTTTGCAAAATTTGATGACGTAACGTGGGGATCGCACAACGAGGTAGAGGGGCTTAGAGTGATAAAGCAACACAACACAACCGAAGTGGCACCTCCCCGGTTGCCGCCATGTTTGGCACAAATGTGACCACTTGTCACGTGACCTCACAAGAGCCGTGACGTCGAAGGTAAGATGGCAGCGCCCAGAGCTGGCAGATGCGAGTTTGTTTGGTGCGCGGCAGCCGCGGCAGCCGTGATGTGCAGCGGCTTTCCGACGATTTCGGGCTTTTTCGTGCTTGCTGACGCAGGCATGATGTGAAAATATGAAGGAATGAGACTTTATACTCTTTTTGAGCAAGATCGCTCTGGATCATCTGGATATTAACACCTGTGAGACAGCATCAGCCGTATCGCCGTACCAGTGCTCGGATTCCGGGATGTGTTCGAGGATCGATAGAACTTTGAGTGCTTTTAGCATGAAATTTTCGCGTTCTCTTAGCTTGGTTTGAACTTTGAAATGTCTATGAATCGACACGAAAGGTATACGTCGCGTTAGGGCCTAGGAGAAGTTGTTTCAGGCCTGCGTAACCGAATAACCATAGCAATTTTTAGCAAGGAAGCTCCTGTGACCTTTAACCCTTTGTGCTAATTGACGATTCTACATTCGATTGCCTTTCCTCCTTTTTTGGTGAGTGCGAAGTGCACACTCATTTTCAGCTACGAGGATGACATTTTATTGAGTGTGGGGATGAATAAATCGTTGCAGGCACCTGCTTCAAAGCTATTCGACTTGCAATAAGAACAACTGTTTTGGTGTATGCATAGATTAACTGCACCTTTTTTTCTTTCGTACGATTTATTGCAGCAATACTTTTTTTCGTCAAGAGTGCATTGTATTAGTCAGTCAATTATTTGCTTGTTCTAATTACCTGGATAAGATGATTCATATTTGTGTTCATCCCTTGCCTGAAGAGCAGTCTTGTTAAAAAATCTTGACCATTCCTTTCGGTCTCTTTAATAGCCTTTTTTGAAAAGTGTGAGTTGCCTATAATTTGTATCATTGTAAATCATTGTAACCTGGAAAAGGACAACCGCCACAGCCCCCTCGAGCCAATCAGAGAGACAGAGCGAAGGTGTGTGACAAATCTGTGCAGACGAGCACTCTGAATGACATGTTGTCATGTGCCTCTCTCCAACGTGCATATTGGCTCACCGAGACTGCAGCTTTTGCTGTTTGCCAAATTGTGATGAAACAAATTACAGTAGCTACTACTCTAATTACCCCAGGCTTTCACACTTTGGTCATTTGTTCGAAAAGAATCTTACGTCCGCCATCACTGTCAACTCGGCTCAGCGCCTATTGGACTCGAATGCTGCATTAGCATTTGACGTGAACTGGGGCCCATTTGTGCGCTTTACGCCGAAAAAAAATGGTAACAAACAATTGTGTCGCTTGATGGGGTTCTGCAAAGGGTCTACGTATAGGAAGTGTCCTGCTATATAAAAATGCATCAACACATACGATTAAAGTATATGCTCAGAGGTGTGTTCAGGAAAAGTGGAATGAGTGCAGCCCAATGCAACAAGTCTGCCAGTCTGGTATGTCCCATTAAATAAGATGCGAGTGTCCTCAAAAGGACCTGCGCGTGTGGTGAACACAATTCTTGGTGTATAAAATCTCAAGGCGTAAAGGCAAGCAGAAATAGGTTTATCTGGTTAGTGTATCAAATATGTTTATTTCCACTGGATTACATAATCAGAATATTTATATTTGATGGAGCAATAAATAAAACACACCAACGGCGTTAATAGGCAGTTTTAGCATAGAGTTACTCACCGCATGGCTACCGTTGACACTGCAACGCTCCTGCCGCGCGCTGAAAATCATGTTCCAAGGGTGCAGCGCGAGCCTGCATGCGGTCACGCTATGCTAAAAGTGATACTACTAACCATGGCGCAAGTTGGTCACGTGTTGCAGTGTACCAAAACCGTGACGATTCGCAATGAGTCGTGAGCCGCTGACACGGAAACATCAATACTGCGAACGCTGCTCTTCCCGAGCTCGACAATCATCCAGCGCAGCTCACTTATTAGAGAACATGTGGCGAAGCAAAGCGCGAACGCCAAAATATTGTCGTCGTGGGAGAGAAAAAAGAAAATGCGTAGTGGGAAAAGGCCATCCGCGTAATGCTATACTTCTCACCGAGGCTCTTCGGATGATGGACTGCTGTCACGTGAGCTGTCTCTGACTGGCGTGATGTACGCGATCCGCGCGTAGATCGCGTGCAGGCCAAGAGCGGGACGCGGCAAAAGGTCAAGCATGGGCACGGCGCGACGCAGTTAGCGCGCACAGAACAGCGGCGGCGCACTGCTAGCAGTACATCGCACCGCGCACGGACATGCGCGAAGAACCACCCGAAAATCGAGCGAAAATGGAACATAAGGAAGTAATCGTTCTACGATATTTTCGAACAAGGAAGGGATATACTGCACGTAAATCTCAAGCACGCTTTTGTACAACAAACAAACACTTCTTTTTGTTTTTTTACGGTACCTAATTTTTACACGTAACTGAATTTATTTATTTAGTTTTGTTTTGTTAGGGCGTGGGGTTGTTTTTTTACGTACCAAATTTATTGCAAGTTTTTTTTTTTTATAATTTTGTCGGTTTTTGCAGAAGCGAACAATCGATGGTCAGTTTGTTTCGCTTTCACAGCCGAATTGCTATCGCAGAAAAAACAGGGCTGGAATCTACTGATCTGTGAGACGTCATTCATTCTGCCTGAGAATGCGGTAGAGGATATACATGCTCGTTGGACCACACATGCGTCGATTGTTCGTCACGTCACGCTGTAGCACTTTCGGCTTAGAGGTAAATCAAGTATATGCCCATGTCGCGCTCTGGACCACCTTTTGTCGGCATCACGGCGATGGTGACATTCTTGACGAAGCGGAAGTTGTAGTAGATATTCAAAAAAGTATTCCCTTACGTCTTTCGTCATTGATAGTAAAAATGTAATAATATAAAATGTGCACAACGGTAGCGCAGCGCGTAGTACCACGCTTTCCCCGTGGGAAACGACGGCGAGGAAAGCTGTGCTG